TTTTTTTTTTTTTTTTTTTTGGTCCTATTTTTTTGCTTGAAATTATGTGACAGTGAACCGGCTGCCACAATTTCTAAACGTGTCAACATGAAATAATAGTTGTAAACCACATGAAACGTATGAAAAATAATTAGTAATTAATGATCATACGAGATGTATAGATAAAAGTATGTTTTACAAACTAAATTATAATTTAAGGTTTGCCAAACATGCACTAATTCATAAGAAGGATAAGCAATAAGCACATTCTATCCTACTTTAAAAGGGTCATTATATTAACGCTACAATTCCATTTTTTGTTACACCATATTATTTGCAATAAGTACCCTCTATCATTCTTTAAAAAGGCAATTATATTAATGATACAATTTATTTGTTTATTACACCAAATTTTAATTACATTTAAAGTTTTCAACTTTTGCCAATTGTCTCACTTATGTCCGTAAGTTTTTCATCACATTTCATCATTGAATTTCACTGTTATCATTGACAATGATTTCAATCAAAACAACCATTACGGGTGTATAAAAAGACTTATTTATCCTCATATTTTTAAATAAGCAAACAAAAATTATAAATACAAAGGTTCGAAAAAATATGTCTCCCACATTAGACATTTTTGACAAAAAAATTTGACACAGGTGTGACAAATAGCAAATTTTGAGTCTTTATGACAATTAAAATGTGGTGTAGCAAATAATTTGTACGAAAATGTGTGTTGATTAATGGAGGGTTGATGATAATTCCCCTTTCTTCGTATAGAGAAAATGTGTGTTGATTAATGGAGGGTTGAGGATAAAATTTATCGAAAAAAGTTGGAAAATAAGTGCAATAATGAACAAAATTTGATGACTGTGATTATAATTCAAATATGGTAGAAGAAAAAATAAATTCGATGTAAATATTATCCTATGTCCCATTTTTTTGGTTTCACTAACACATCTACCACCAACAACGGATTCTTGAAATTTCATAAGAAAAACTTGGCATATAAAGGGTATTTAATTTGATAAATTGTCACATTACTTTGTTTATAATTAAGTGGATTCTCAAACTTATGTTGATTCTGTATATTCTACGTTTAACAGTCTCTTTTGTTCAGATTCATTCAAACAAACCCTAGTTAAGCATGTAAATTAAGAACGACTATGGTTCAGCTACAATGAGAAACTTTGTTCCAATTCCACTGCCTCTATGAATGTAGATTTCGGAGCCCTATACATTAATATTCAAATTCCATGATAGTCCCATGATCTCGTTGCTCTTAAATAACCTAATGAGTTGAAGAAAAAACAAATGCAACTTGTAAACGTACAAAACTCAGCCGAGGCTTACCAAAGCTAAAGTTTCCCACATTTACGTCCTAGTTATGAAATAGTATGGTCTAGAGACACGGATTAATAAGGATAAATCTCTTCTCGTGGACATAGTTATTATTATGAAAGTGCTTCGAGAGTAAAAGAATATTTTATAAAGTTAAGTGTCAGTTTTTAATTAACAGGCGACATACATACTTCAAAATAGCGACTAATACTCAAGAAACAACGACAAGTTGTCTTTTTATGATTATGTTTCACTTCATTTTAAAAATACAATACTTTATAAGTTGGAAGTGACAAAAATTCAAAAAAGTGAAAAAAAAAAATCAAAACTTTAGAATAGATCCAAAGGTAGTTGATATTTTTCTACACGTTCCCTTTTTGTGATTATATTTCAATTCTATTAATTAAACATAGAATATAACTTTATATTAATAATTCAAAATTACTGTATTGTTTGTACGTGAAACACATGAATCGTCACATATACTCATGTATAAGATCATACACCGCCTCGATCTGCATTCCCTAATCGATTTACACCCTATCATCTCCCACAACCACCACCACCAACCTCCGAAAAACTACCACGTGAGACCTCAAATTTAGACTCTTGCAGGAGCCATTGCTCGCACTGTCAACTCTTCAATGTGGTATGTGTAGTTTTTGACTTGTCACCTGTGTTTTCAATCTTGGTTAGGATAGTCCTTTGTTTTCATTCCTTTATATATTTCATTTTTCAACTATAAAATACTTGATCTATTTATCAGAACGATTATTTGCTCGCACTGTCAACTCTTCAATGTGGTATGTGTAGTTTTTGACTTGTCACCTGTGTTTTCAATCTTGGTTAGGATAGTCCTTTGTTTTCATTCCTTTATATATTTCATTTTTCAACTATAAAATACTTGATCTATTTATCAGAACGATTATGCTACATGTACACTATCATTTACATCATCATTTACACTTTGTTTTGCGGACCGCAGGTTTGGCTCCCGAGGTACAACGCCTCAAGGCCGCCTTCCCCTCATTCTTAGGTCGACAAGCCCGAACAACTGGCATACACACACGCTATGAGTTGGATGTTAGGGAAAATACATGCATATGATCATATCATTAGTGCACTATTTGGTAAAATAGGCATTGCGCCTAGCTGTTAGCGCCATTGCCGTGCCAAATGGGGAGATAAGCATTCTCACTGCGTGACACTTTGTCACGTGACAACACACTGTTAAACAATTTTTTAAAAAAAATGGTCCCTCCAATCCTTTTTTAGCAACACATCAAGTGTCTGGGAAGGTTCAAAAATTTCAATTAATTCATATATTTTTAAAGGCAATACCTTTCTGATCC